CTTGTTTACACCCGCCCCCCTCAATTTTGAACTCTCGGATGCTGCTGACTCATTTCCTCCTCCCCGCTCCTGTTCTTTGCGCACTGCACAGCCGTTCGCGCAAGAGCCTTAGCGCAGCTTGTGCCTGAGCGGGAAGGGGAACTGGGGAGCCGGGACGCGCAAAGCGCCGCGCCTTCTGAAGACGGCGCGCTGCTGCCGGGCTCTTCGCTCGCCGCGTCCCGAAGCAACGCACCCGCCAACCCCGCTGCCTTGCTCGGCCGCGCTCTCGGCGTGCCCGGCCGGCCTCGCGGAACGCCAGGCGCCGCTGTTGCAGGCTCTCTGCTGCCACACGCCTGTCGCGTGCTGCGATGTGTCAACTTTGCCGGTGGCTCCAGTTCCCGGGGTGGGGAGGGGATGCAGCACAGGCGTGGCTTCCCCAGCAGGAAGCAGCGGCAGCCGTTGTCCGAGCTCAAGCCAGGATGTGGGTGAGAAGAGCCATATGTGGAGTGCGAAGGCGTGAAAGGAAGCCCTTGGGATTAATAAAACAAACACCCTTAGAGGAGTCGAGGCAGTAGCAGGAGCGGAAGACAGCAAGGGCCTTGGGGCTATTCTGTTCTCAGAGGGGGGCTGCCCTGCAACAGCAAGGTTCAAATCAAGCTCCTGGGTTGTTACACACGTGATCTCGGATGGGCTCTCGAATTGCGAGAACTTGAGTTCCAGAATGTCCCTCCTCGCCCGCCCCGGCCTAATTTTTGCATGATAAACGCTGCTTAGTTCAAACCCCGCGAATCAGAAATTACTAATGCTTTACAAAAACCCTCCAAAGGGAGGGTAGATACTTAAAAAGCGACCTCTCTTGTGAAATGCTACTGGTGTATGTATGTTATATGTGTATTCGATGTTTTGCAGCCAAGGTTGGTTCCCAAAGCAATTTACAATTAAAAGTTGTGCAAAGGTGAGATATATTTAGGGATGTGTTGGTGAGTGTTGTGTGTGTGCGTGCGGGGAGAATCTATTTTGGTCTTTGGCAGTTGTTAATGCAGCTTGATTCCAAGCTAGTGATTCAGTCCAGTTTCAAACCTCGAGGGAGGAAGCAGGAGCAGCGGCAGATGGACTTGGGGCTTGACTGATGGTAAAGGTGCCAACGCACAAAAGCGAGCCTTTTCTTGAGATGACTGTCCATCGAACACTTATGCACAGAATCTTGCTTCTAGATTTGTTTGCAGAAGTGGGGCTGTTTAACATAGCGAACCAGCTGTGACCTAGCACAGCACGTGCACTCGGGTGTGATTGAGCAAGGCAGCCCTGTATCTGGAATGCTGTTCCCTGTTTTGAAGGGGAAGCCTGTTTTAAAGGTAAAGAACCATCAGAGCTGGGCCTTGCAGACTGACCCGTAGCCATAGTCACTGTGGTGAGATCTACTGTATCTCTAGTCAGATCACAGCGTAAGCAAGTATTACTTGTATCCTCTTTTGGCCTCTTTTTGGCACTGTGCAAGTAGCCACCCTGGATGTTTGTGTCTAACCTGCAGTGTGCAAGCATCAGGGAGTTGCATACAATCAGGTTACTAGGTTTGCTGCAGGAACTGCCAACATTTAGGCCAGTGTCTATCCTCTACTCGCTTTGTGATGGATTCTGCCCTATTCAGATAGTCCCCATTGTATGGAATGCTTTTATGCATACAATGTACAACAAGACTCCATGAAGGCGGAAAAGGGAAAAGCAGGAGGATAGGAAGTGTTATGGGGACAGTTTCTACTGCTGTCTTTCTAGATGTGGACTTCAATACCTATGCAAACAAACCTCATATGATGGAAAAACACTCCAAGATATGAAAGGGAGTGAAGAGCTAGGCCTGTCGAAACATGAGGAAGCTACCTACCACAAGAGGTTACGGACATCGTCTGAGAATGGGAAATGCTAAGTTATCCAACATGTAATCATTTTCCTCTGTTATGTGTGTGCATGAAATGCACTGTTTGGCTCCTCTGTCTCCGCACGAAGATTTCTTGGGTTGGCCTAATAGAAACTTACATTCAGTAAAATGGAACTGTGTAAGCTGTAAGAGAAAAAAAACCTGGGATATAAATATAATAATAAAAATACGAGGTGCTTAGAGGGCCCTCAGGCCAATATAGACAAATAGGATTTAAAAAAATAAAAATAAAATAATGCTTCTCGACAGACTGCCAGTTAAAAGGCACTGAGCAGCTCTTCATCTTTTACTCGTTTTTTTTTTATTCTTTTGGTGAAAAGAAAAGATGGAAAAATGTTAGGGAAACACAGGAGGTTTATGAGAGGAAAATGATGTTATCTAGCCACCCACTTCATAAAATTCTGTGAATGAGACTGGGTGATGATGCAATAAAAGTCTCATCTGGAAGTGACCCTGTATGCACAATAATGTACTATTTCTGACTCTACTTGCACCAGTTTTTAAATTTTTGACTTCATCTTTGGTCATGAATGTTCACTTCAGAAGCAAGTATCTTCTCAGAAGCAATTTTACAATTCCTCTGTTAACCCTTGCAGGAAGGAAGTGGAAAACAGGACTACATTCTTTCCCACTTTTTTTTTTTTTTTTGGACTTCATAAGGTAAGGTAACTTTTGGTTTTCGAATTAGATTAATTAATATCCTTCCAACCCAGAAATAAAAGGATTGGTTATAAGTGGATACACTCTTTTCAATTAAATAGTTCCATGAAATTTGCCAAAAGTGTTTTTATCCAGTATGGGGAGATTGAAAGAAAAGAAATTCACTGTGTGTTAGAATTTGGCCTTTGTCATACAGATGCATTGAATTATTATGCTTCTGCCTTTAGTTGGATGCTTAAAATATTCCTGGACAAGTCACCAATTGTTATGAAAAAAATAAGGGGCTTGCTGTAAAATTTCTTTGAGTACTCTAGTTGATGGAATCACAGGTTGTGCTAACTTGAAACGAATACCTGTTGACATTTTCTTTTGGAAAGCTTGCTCCTATTCTATTCATCTCAGTGGATTTCATGGGGCAGGACCCCAGTGAGTAAGGTTCATAGAAAGCAATTTTAACTTCATTGGAGGGTTTTGGGGTGGGGAGTGGGAAAGGGGATTAGCAAAGAGGACTTGAAAATGTGTTCCAGGTGACTACTTGAAGGGTGAGGAATAAATGTTTGATACTGAGTGGTGATGTCGTGGTCAGGAGAAATTAATATGGATTTGTATAAAGTACAGCACATTTTTATGGCACTGTAGGAATAATAATGACTTAAGGTTTTAGGAAAAAGTTTGAGATCTCCAGATTAGGTATGAGCTAATTCTCTGTATGTTTGGAAGCTTACTGCATTGAAATTACCTTGTTGTCCATTTGGACCCACCAAGTCAGGAATGGAAAGTAACGTAAAACAGATGCTTTCAGCAGGGTGACTTAACTGACACTACTATTACTGGTATTAGGGGAGTATCCATGGTGCTTATTATCAGTCATTTTCAAATATGTAGCAGGACCCAGCTGTTGCCTGCAGTGATCCCACATAATTTCTTCAGTCCTAGCTGATCGCAACACACTTGCATAGTTCAGGGGTGCACTGTTGGAAGCAATTTTTCCAGGAGGTTTGAAACTGCTGATACAAATTAGAAATTATTCCTGGTTTAGAGATGTGGAAATAACCACATTTTTTGCAGAAATGTAACAGTGCGGCCATCATATTATGTTTTCCCTTAGCCTTTCCCAATCAGGTCAATAGAAATAGAAGTCACTTCAGTAGGTAGAATATGGGCATTGGAAGGACTTTCTAAATTTTCTTTCAAACTTTAGGTAAAATAGTTGCAAAAATGAAAGCACTCTTACTTAGCATCCCATCATCATCTTAGGCTAGAGACAAGGAATGGCTTCCCCCATCCCAGAAACCTGAAAGGGATTTGAGGAGAACCCTAATGCTTGTGGTTTGTTGACCTTTAGCTCTGGTAAGTCTTCTTTGGCCAGAGGCAGCTGTGGGGCAAACAAAATCGATGTCTGCCACACCATGGCAACCATTGTCATTCTCAATCGACATTCCACTAGCACTGCTGTCAATTTACAGAAGCAAATGACTCCCTTGTAGCAAAGCTTTACTACCTATTCTTTAGGGAGGAATTCAAAATGCTGGTTATGACCTGTCACACCCTGTGCAACTAAGGACCTGGCTACCTGGAACATTACTTCTTGCTCTACGAACCTGCTTGAATGTTAAGATCATTCCTTGGGGATGATTATCTTAAAGATCATCTCTTGGGGGTTATCATCTTAAAGATCATCCCTTTATCAGAGGTGCAGAAGAAGGCCGCCTCAGTGACTGCTCTGCTGAGGGAGGGTAGGCTGGCTCCCTCCCTCTTGTCCTCCTGCTAGGTGGACCCTTGCTATGTTGAACACTCTGTTGGGCTAAATGTCCTTTTTATTGTCATGGTTGTGTTTTAGTGTATTCATGCCAGTATGGTTTTAGGGCACAATCCTATGGCCTCCTCACATCATCCGGGAAGCCATAGGCTTCTGGGAGGCCACAAGAAGTCTGAGGCTGTCCTGAGACTTGAATAGGACAGGATAGAAATGCAATAAATAAATTAATCTTGGACCTGTGGCTCTGGAGGCCAAGCAGCCACCCCTATCACAGCAGGCACAGAAAGAGACATGCTGGCTGCCCCTCCTATGGTCACAGCAGGAACTCAGAGAAGGAAAAGAGGGGTGCTGTCCTATGGGTGCGGGGAAGGAGACTGGGGCCTTGGGCTGATTTATATCCTCATCCCAACCTTCTCCCATCTCTGGCACTTTATCTAGACAGCTGAAAATGACTGTCTAAATCAACTGGCTGATACAATGTATAGTAGAGCTCTCCATGGCCACAGCTCATCCAGGTGAAGGATGCATGAAAGACTCTGAGGTCAGAGGTTTATGTGTATCACGGACACAGGGCCTCAGATTGTCCCCTTAATCTATGCTTTGAAGCCACAGTGAGTGCCATTTTCTTCTTAGAAAGGTGAAGTACAAAGCAAATAGAAACAAATCTTACATGATTGATCCAATTAGCTTTAATTCAATGAATCAATTAAATCTGCATGTGTTTTCAAAACATAGAAGGGATGGTGGTGGCAGTGAAGTTGAAAGGGTTCCCCATGTGTTAAGAAGTTGTACCAGGCCCTGAGAAACAATGCTGGGGCACTGCTGGTGAGAGCATGCGCATGAAACAAAACCCAGGAACAAATGTGGATGAATTCCCAAATAAGTTTGGCAATTGATTAAAAGCTAACAGAATACCATTGTTACTGTTCATAGCAGAGCTGTTCATCCACTCTGGAATGTAGTAGGCAAGTTCATACTTGTCAAGTTTCAAGCAATAGATGATTGCCTGGTGCAATATATTCAACTTCTGTGCTCATCTGTTTTGGTGGTCTTATGCTTAAATTCAGTGCTCATGTAGCAGCACATGTTGGCTTTTATGCTATAAGCTGTCTTGAACCTTTTAGGAAAGGCAGGAGAATATATTTTTAAAACAAATTAATGAAGAAGAAACAAGTTCTTCTGCATCTGCAAATGCCCAGGTTGATTTTTGAGTTCCTATGCGGATAACTTTCAAAATAAAATAAATGCATTTTTTTCCAAATTCATTTTCAGTTTGGCCCTGATGGCATGGTGGATTTTGAGCTACTTCTGTGGCTTTCATCAGCTTTAAACATTCTCCAAAAGTTGATCATACAGACAGAGGAGGGCTTCAGTTCTTCAATTCACTCCTTTCTAAATGAATGAGGTGATTTTGGATCAGACAAATCACAGTGCACCAGTATTCCAGAATATTCCTGGCACTCAGCCAGGCATAACTCAGGATGGTCTTCCTTCCTCTCTCTCGAAACAGAATGGTTTCAAGCTAAATTATCATAGAAATAACAACAATTATAGAAACAGAAATTCTGAAACAATTCATAACTAATTGTAGAAACAATAATCAAACCTAACAACATAAAAGCAGCAAAATCTTCAGCCTCAAACAACTCAGACCCACAACAATTGTAGAACTATACATTGTTTCTCTATGGCTCAATTTCCCTTTGCATCTCAATGCCATCCTTGGGTGAGACTTGTATGGCAAGTGTTCCAGATGTTCTGCTCTCCCTGAGAAGCTTTGTCAGAGTCTTGGAACCTTCTTAGTACAGAATTAAACCTTATTTCATGCCTGTGTAACCCACACCTTTTGTTTTGTTTTGTTTTAAGAGAAAAAAACCCAAACCTGCAATTAACGAGGCTATGCTTTTTCATTAGATGGATGAAATCCCATAGAGAGATACAGGTGAAAAAGTGGGAATTTCATGGAATGAAATTCTTCATACTCCCTTTATGCAATAGAGTTACTGACTAATTGGTATATATCATTGGATTAATATCACCTAATTTTTGAATAGGAAGGCAGTATGAGTGGACATGCACAAAGAAGAAACATGTGAAATATGAAAGCAAGAGCTCAACAGGGAACAGTAGAAATGTTTCTGCACCCAGTTTCTTAATTTAGGAAAATTGTTTCTCTCAAAATAGAGAGCTGTTCTGCTTCATCAAACCATGTCTCCAAAGATTCCCAGATATTAGAAGGCGAGGCAGTGAAAGTTAGATTCATGATAAAAGTGGCGTCAATCAACACTCAATTATGGCGGAAAATTTGAAATCTAGTGCAGATGAGGCCAAAAATAAAGTGTGTGAGATAAATGAATGCAGCCATGCAGGTCTGTATTTAGAGAGGATGTGAACTGAACCGTAATAAGTGAACAGGGTCTCCGCAACATAAAGAGTGGGGTAACCTTTTCCTTTGTCTCAGTGCTAATGTATCTTGAGTCTAGCATTAGCACATTAATAAGAATATTATTCATGCAGACGTTTAGAAGCAACTTGAAACTCTGTTAAATCCAACCCGTTCACTGATCCTAGAGGTTGTTCTTTTTAATAACGCTGAAACATTCTCTCCTGGTTTATGAAGGTCTAGCTTTTTAAAAAAAAAAATCTGCATGTTAGGTATTATGGCGGTCCAGTGTCAGGGAGACAAAGGCCGTGAAAAAGGAATGGATGGGAAATGCACCTACACATGAAAATAATACACTAGACTAAACAAAAAACCTCCTCTTAATATTACATTCTTCTCATTTATCTGTAAATATAGGCCTCCCCAGACCAGTGTCTGGGACTACAACTCTCAGCATTCCTGACCATTGGCTGTGCCGGCTGAGAGTTAAAGTCCAAAATTTTTGCAAGGTAGCAGGTTGAAGAAGGCTGCTTTGCTTGCTGTTAGCATACTTTACAAATAACCACAGGGCCCCCATGTTTGTGCTTGGGCCTTCATGTTTTGAGGGATGCTTTGAACAACATTAGGGGAATTGCTGCTCCCAGCCTTTGGAAACTTGTACTGTTCGATGGAATAGCTATTCTGGGACATTAGGCTTGACCGTTTTTATCTCAGCACGGATTGTGCTAGCCCATGAGAACACCAAGACGCTAGATTGCTTGTTTTTACAGACATTGGTGAGTCCACAGGAATCTCTTCAGAAATGTGGTTCATTCGGCCCAAATTTTGGCAGTGCTCATCGCCTGAACATGGCTCGGTATGGCTTTGCTTTTGAGGCTTTTATTCGTCTTTTGTTGGCTTAAAGGCAATATGGTCCATTTGGCTTTATGTTGTGACAGTGCAACTTGTAGCAGATACTGCAATGGGTCATGCGAAAGCTTCTGAGCTAGATGCAGGCGGAAACACCCCGGAATAGAGGGCATGTACCTGTATCCTGGATCAGCTCCAGGTTGTGGAGCTCATGGGGCAAGAAGCACATTGCTGCGGCTTCTGCCTTTTCTTTCCTTCTGACTGCCTGGGCTCAGGCTGCACCACTGCAGGGCCCTGAGGGAGAGGGCAAGGTGAGCAGAGGCCGCTGCTTCTCCTTTCCCCGCTTGCTTCTCGCTCACCTAGAGAGGGCAGAGAGCAGGCCGGGACACCCTGGAGGGCAAGGGCAGGATCGGGAGGTCACGGAAGATTGGACTGGGGGGCCCTGCTGGAGTATGGGCCCTGACAAATGCCCAGCAAGAGCAGGCCTGCTTGCCTCCTGTGTGCGTACATCCTTGTGTGTGTGGCAGCCTTTGCCTGACTGATCAAAAAATTCATTGTCCTTGGAGTGCTGGTATGATAGCTCTCCTTGGAGAGGGAACCAATAATGACACAAAGGCAGTGTTGGGTTATAACCTTCCTGCCATGCCTAACCCTTTCGTGCCATTTTGGAAACAGGGTCCCCAGATCATGTGAGGATGCTACCTTCTTATGGAACCTAGTTCTGGATTTGGAGCATTTGAAAGAAATTAGGTGCCATGTCATTAGGAAATGCATGAATAACAGTAATTAACACCCATACAGTGAGTTTCACTGTATAAAACAGATGCATACAGACAGCGGCACTGTGACGACGGCCAGGAAATTCAGCCAGCTTAGTGTTGCCTCATCCATTTTCATCTATCAGTCTCTCTCACAAACTGTGGCTAAGTATATTTGCTCCTGTTGTGCCTTCCAAGATTGTATGTATCAAAGAATTTCCTGCTCTAGAGTTGAGATCCTTAGCAGTCCTTCATCATGTTTTTCTTGTCATCAGGTAGAGGAATAAGGATTTTTTTTGAAAAAAATTCCTAACATAAACAAGAATATGAAAAAGAACAAGCTAAAATGAGCAAAGCAAGCTAAAATGAACAAAGTTGCCAAGGGAATTTCAAACAAATACAACCTTTATATTCAGCCAGGTGGATTTTGACTTCCATTGCTAATGAGGTACCTTACTATCAGATGCTTATCTGAACTGACTCTTCCGTCAGACCAAACCAGACAATAGGTAGAGAAATAAGGAACCAGGCTTACCAAATTCTTCTCCTTATGTTTTGTTTTCTTTCAACTGAGAAAGTAGTTTGCTGATAGTTGTTCTACACTATGGCTCTGCACATAATTTTACATAATTCCTGAATGCTTTCACATGGTGTTAGGCAGAATAAATCTGTGTGCTAAAAAGGACTGTCATCTCTGAATTGAGACTCTCTCTTTTTCTCTTTAAAGGTCGTGAGAGCCATGTAGTATGATTCACACTACTTGGGACAGAATACCTTGCACAGCTTTTAACCTAAGCTCTTCTGACTTTTTGTGCAAGTGTGTTGCAAACTTTAAAAAATCTGCAAGCGCAGGATCACATGGGACTGGCCGGTTCCGTGTGACTCAGCAGTTGTCATCTTGATGTTCAGGTGGTGCAGTTACATCATGGGAAGTACACTTTTCTGAGTAATCTACTATGCAGAATCCATCTGTCAACCACACCTGTGTGTGTGTCTTTTCACGAATGCTACCTCGCCCGATAGTTCTCCTTAACCCTTCCGTGTTCATCAGCAAGAAAGTGTCCGAATTTGTAGCCAATCTGTACATTGCAATTACATGCCTGTATTTGTCACATGATGTTTGGACTAAGTTGAAAGTGCTGGTGCTCACCTGTAAAGTGTTGAATGCTTTAGGATTACCATTGCTTGGACTCTTTTCTCTGATATCAGTCTACCTGTGCCTTGAGCTCTACATTGTGATTTTTCTCCAGGTGATTCTGCCATTGGAAATAAGGTGGGTGGTGATTAGAGAAAGAGTTCCTTTTGGTGGTGGCACCCCACCTGTGAAATGCCCTCCCCAAGGGAGGTTGGCGTGGCACCCACTTCCCTATCACTTTGTCAGCAGTCAGTGTCTTCTCTGTTTTACTGACCTACAAGTTCATAACTCCTATGCTACTGTGAATTTTTATTGATTGTCGTTTTGTCTTACACAGTGTTGCCATTTTTATTGTAATATTTGTATTTATAGTCTTCAATGCTCTATTCTGGAAATGCTGATTGGCCCTTGGAAGGTAGGGTACAAATGAACTTTAGAAAAAAATAAAATAAATTTAGGATGGAAAGCTTTCAGTTTTCAAAGGAAATATAGTTGGATTGTCCTCAACAAATTAGCCGATAAACACCAGAGCATTATGCAGTGAGAGACAAATAATGAAAGGTAAAATGCTAGTTCTGGATCCAGTACACAGGAATAAGTCACCTTTCAGGGCTGTGGGCACATTTGACAATTTGAGAACCTGGCTTGGATACCACCATAAATGGCTGTCCTGGGAAGTGTGACCAAGGACAGGTAAAGACTGAATGCAAGGCAGAGGTGGGACTGAGGTCCAACACACTAAATAGCTTCCTCAAACCCAGAGTCTTGAGTATCACCAGAAACCGATTTAACAGATATCGAAGCTTCCCATAAGAACATACATTTTTTTAAGAAGGAGAAGGGCATGGTACCTTGGTGGGCACCAAGAAAGGTGTCTGGTGACACCTCGGTGCCCATGGGTTCCATATTGCCTGCACTTGCAAAAGATAGTCGTGTGAGAAGACTACTTGCAGAAATGGAATGAGGCAGCGCTCTCTGGGGTAGCAGCAAGATGTTAGAAGACATGGTTGTATGTACCATGGCCTATCCTTTGCCCCTGGGAGCACCCTGCTGCCTTCAGGTGTAGTGGAGGAAGCTGTCCCATCAGCAGTGTTGAAATAAGGTTCAGCTCTGGCTGGCCTCTGTACTTGGAATGGGGAGGGAACCATCTTGTCCTTTTCCTTGGGCAGCAAAATGTGCTGAGCTGACCTTGTGTTCGACCTTCCTGTGCTATATTTTGTTTCTGGGCATAATCCCCCTGTGCTGTTAAACATCCTTGGCACTGAGATCTGTTGTACAGGACTAGACTGCTTGTGTACCTGTGACCATTTGGCACCACTGTATGAAGCTTTGGTGAGATTTAGCACTCCACACCGTATAGATGCATAGTTTTGAATGTATGGCTTCTGCCTGTGCAGGCCTCAGTCCCACAGGCAATGTGAACAGATGCTTCCACAAGCCGGTCGTCGTCATTGTTACTGTCATCCGCTGTTACTGGATGAGGGTGATTGCAGAAAGTATATATTTCCCTTTAATTCAGCCACTGAATTGAATAGTGGATTTTTACATTCTGATGATGAAAAAAACCTTTTTATTCATTAGTGATTATAGTGTCCATCATGCATGTAATGTATTTAAACTATTCAACACTGTGTGTGTGTTTTCCTTAGTCCTTATTTAGTCTCAGCAAAAGCTAAATCTGGCATGTCTAGGATGCACGTCCCACTGATGAGAGCACATGTATATGATGCATATTTAAGCTTGTGGGCACAAATTCAGGAAAGGGGACAGAATCCATTCCAAGAAGGATAAGGTGCATTTTAATTCCTTCTGTTTCCTGGCCACAGAAGAGTCATGTTAAGCAGTGCTTAAAACACAATTGTGCAATAAAACATACTGCTCACACAATCAAAGGCAAAAACCCAATTCACAGATACTGGAATTGTTTGAGACGGTTTTGGGGACTGAATAGGGTGAAAGGCTGGTTTGTTCCAGAGTGGAATACCTATGGAGGCCTTTTCTGTGAGCAATACTATGACTTCATTACCATGTCAATTCTGGGAAAGGCCTCTGATTTAACACAGCAGTTGGCTGAATCCATATGGAGCTGATGAACCTCTGGATGAATAGTGAATGGAAAAACTGCTGGAATCTGCTTTCAGCTTTTTGTTCCCAGGATGACCAGTGTAAAAGACCTAAGAACTATACAGCACAAATGGTATACAAGAGAAATCAGTCTGTTTAAGGTTTAAATGTGGTCTTCTATCCTGCATTGTTCTGTGTGTACGTGAACTGAAACACACATTCCAATGCTCTCATGTCCTTTTCCCACATTCTGGGTTGATCCAGGCAACCGTTTCACACAACACATTTTGTAGAGATTGTGACTGAAGATTACCTTGCAGCTCGATGGGATGAATTGGGTGACTGACTGACATAGCTAAGTCGCATGCACACTGGCCGCAAGTTGCAGTGGTTAAGTTGCCACTTGTTAAATGGGCAGCTGCGCCACTTCTCTGTGTTTGGCTCCAGTCACTCTTTCGCATTAATGGCAAAAGCCAACCAGTGGAGGAAAAGGCACCTGGTGTTAAGCAAACGCACGCTGGCAACAGCCCCTACCCAGCAACAAGTCCTGAAAACAGCATGTTCTCCAGCAATGGACCGAGGAAGCAGGATGTCGTGACAGTAAAAAAGCTAGAGAGCAGAGCCCTGGAATGTCTTCTGTTTGTCCTGTCCAGTGGGAATATTCAGATCTTCCCATTGGTACAGTCATGTATGTCCACTAGGGTTACATGCTTTAAGAGTGTGACACATCCCTGCAAGTGCCAGTACAGTAAATGAAAAGGCTCTTTGGCATTATCTGATTTCCTTTCTGGCTTGGGAAGTTAGAACAGATGTCACAAGAGAGGACAAAATGGATTTTGCCCACCAAGAAGAGCTTTTCTTGCCTCTGTTAACAGGAGGCTCCTTGAAATGCTAATGGGCACAGTTTGTGTTGCTGGGAGTTTGCATACAGAGGCTGGGAAACAGCTCTGAGTCCTAAAAGAAAGAGGGGAAAGCCCTTTTGTTATGAGTTAAGGAAATCTGCTTCTTCAACAGAAAAGCACATTGAATGGTGCAAGGCTTTTAGAAGTACAGCAATCTCCTATACCCAAACAATGCAATGAACTATACTGTTTTGACAGGATATGACATGCATTACAATGTTCAGTTGAATTTGCATAAAGGTTTTACCTTCTCCGCTTACTGTAGTTAGGATATGCATGGTGGAAAACCACAGTATGGGTTTCTACTCTGCCACTTCTGCTAAGTGTTCTGATTCTTTATATATATACTTTTTCCTTTCAGTGATCTGAGAATTCAGGATTGGAAGCGTATGGTCTGTATGCTGGACTCTCCTGTTTTTCAGTCATGACAAATGGAGCACAAGTCTCTCTGATTTTTGGTTGATAAACCCCACTTAGAACATTGCACTTGATTAATATCTGCATCACCAGCTCTTGCTCAGTGCTTGTGTGTTTGAGACATCAAAGCTTGATCCTGAGAAGCTTGAAAAATCAATTTTACACACTTCAAAGAGAGCAAGTTGGGTCTCTTTGCCTAATGTGTGAAGTAGAACACTGCGCATATTAGTTCACAAATTTTTATAAGTTGATTTCAGTTGAAAAAAATGTTTGCTTTGGCAGAGATACTTCTAAAGGTGCAAGAGAGAAACTGGGAGAAATGAAATTAAGCCTGCATGTTTAAGTGAGACTGATTCCCCTTAAAAGTATTCTAATGCTGCACATCGTTAGCCTTTCTCACACGTTCGCACTGGATGCCAGCGGAGTCATGAGATCACGGCAACAAGTCATGACTTAAACTTGTTCATTCAAATGTGGAACTGACCCTATGCGCATACCAACTTTAAACCCATGTGCTCTGTGTGCTGGGAATTAATACTGAAAGCCATTGCTGCTGCTTTTAGGATTTAAATGACTATGAGGAAGGAAACTTGGCCTTTGAATGGGCGGTTTTATCTTCAGGAAGTTCAGTGAATGATGGTCTGTCAATTTCTATGAGGTCATAGAGCTGATGTTGTAATTACAATGCTGTCAAGTGGTCTCTGACTTACAGCGACCCTGTGAATGAGCGCCCTCCAAAATGCCCTGCCCTTGACAGCCCAGCTCAGCTCTTATAAACTCGAGGCTGTGGCTGCCTTGATGGAATCGATCCCTCTCGTGGTTGGCCGTCTCCTCCTCCTCGGCCGCCTCCCGCCACCTTGGCTTTCCCTAGCATTATTGTCTTCTCCAGTGACACAGAGCTGATGCCACACAACAAAATCCAAATTGCCTCTGAAACAAGCTGCCCCCTCCGTTGGCCCGTTGGTGCGCTGCCTTCTAGACTGGGAAGGCCTTCCCTCTAGTGCCTGCATCACGCTGTGTCATAGCACGCGGATGGTGCTGGGAGAGGGCTGTAGCCTCAGCACTGCTGGTTCCTCTGTGGCTCCAGAATGGAGAACTGCAGGAAGTGGCTGAGTCCAGTCTGGCCCCTGTAAGGTCTTTCTGCTCCACCTGCGCTGGGTGGGTTGGGCATCACTCCTAGAGACATTTAACAGATTTTGCCTCAATAATACAACATGGGTTGACACTGCATAGCTCCATAATAGGGCTGAACATTCTTACCTATTCCAGTTGCATGTCTCCACTTTTCAGAAAACCGCATCAGAGCGACTGTTTCCATAATCCAGTGGAATGCACTGGTATACTTCAGTGAGTATATGAGCCCAAATGATAACAATCTGAACCGATAATATTTACTGCAAGAAGTCCTATCAGTTGGCCATATTCATTGTCCTTTGTTCACAAGGCAAAATGAGCTCATGTGACAAATTGATATGCAAATTAGGATGAGCACCAAGAGAGGAAACAGATTGAGATTTTATTTCCCCCTCTGAATATTGTCTATATAGCAGGACAGACCTGATTCTCTGGACCTTGACAAGACCTCTTGCCCTCCCACTGCCCCACTACATCCAAGAGCAGGCTCCCCATGTTGTGGGGCAGCAGCGGCAGTGCTCTTTCCTGTGCTAAGGATGGTCTTGGGTCACACGAGAGGAATCCCTGTGGCGATGTTCCTGCCCCACACCATTAATATCCCAGTTTCTGGAGCAGCAGCACTTGTTTGGGGAGAATCTGCAGTAGCACGTGTTGGTCCTATATGGCTTGGGGCTTCTCATGCAACTCTAGCTGGCCAGGTGGTCAGCTTCACAGAGGAGAGTTTTTTGTTTCAAGAAATGGCAAGGACAGTCTTGTTGTTGAAGGCATCCTGTATTTCAAGAGCTGTCTGGCCCAAGCTTGGTTAAAAGATAAGGAATTAGGAGCCAGAGATGCTTTGAAGCTGCCCACTGATTGTTAGCACCTGAGCCACAGACTGAGCAGGTGGACAGGAACACAGGTCACCTTGCCACAGGCTTGCCTGCTATTGTGGAATAGATTGCCCTTTCTCAGAAAAATTATTTCTACATTAGTAATTTTTATGCAAGTAGATATCCTCTTTTTGCATGCTGTGCGAGTGGTCACCCCACACAAACCGAAAGCATTTGCCTTGTACTCTCGGGCTTCATTCTACTGTTAGTGTCTGAAGTGAGGGAAGGCCATCCTGGGGGCAAGGAACCATAGTACTTACTCTGACTACTTACCTGTACTTTGCAAAAACTGTTCTGCAAAAAGTTTCAGGCGACACGGCTCCAGCCCAGAAGGGGCAGTGCAGCTCCTCATGACCAGGCCAGCTCCCCGCTTCTCTCTTGCTACAAGAGTGTCTACTGCTCCTCTGATGCTGAAACGGAAGAATTATCACTTGGTTACTGCCTTTTTCCTGAGCAGGATGCAATGTCGCCGCCTTAATGTGCTTGTAGATTACCTCTGCTGCATTGTCAAAATCTCAAAAGTTAACCAAGCAAATTGACAAGGCAAGGCTGCCTGCAGCAGACTGGCTAATGTGTGCCAGTCATCTTCACAAAGAGCCTGGGGAAAATGGCACTGAAAGAAAGTTAACTGCCCTCGTGTATCTCAGAAGCACTGAGGAAAAAAGTGAGAGACGTAATTCCTTGTGTAAAAAGCCCCAGTGGTGGGGGAAGGCGTAGCTCCCACTTGTCAATGTCACTTCTTATTTATTTATTAAAACATTTATATGCCGCCCCATTCGCCGAAGCCTCGGGGCGGCTCACAACATGAAGAAAAATACAATAGTAACAATATAAAAATAATATAAAATAAATAACAATATAAAAGAAGTCGCCCTGGCTTCTTCCCATTATGGGTGGAACTGACACTTGTCCAAGTCATCCCCACATTCATCTCCACTCCAAGAGCGGTAGCTGGGCAGGGAGAAATGAGTTGGGCAGGCAGATGCAACTGCTGCTTATGGGGCACCCCAGTTGTTCTAGCCTGGTCAGGGGAATAAATGATGAAGGGAGGAAACTGACACGTCTCACATCATCCTGCGAGAATGACGTTGACAAATAGGAGATAAAGCCTACCCCTGTGCTCCGTTTTGGAGCATTTACTGCTAGGTTTACTGCATTTCAATGCATTTATGCAAATCTCCCTCAAGGTGGTTGTTTTGGCATGAATCTCCCTGAAGTTGGGAAAAGAATGCAGCTAATTGGGGCAACAACTACCCACACTTGTCCCAACTGCTCCATCCCATCCAGTGGCTGCTCTCTCAGAGTTTAGGGCACAAGTGTGATGGCATAAAAGCAAGAAGATGACATCAACAGGTGGGAGTTATTTCCCCACCCACAAGATGGTGCTCTCTTTGTGACGGAGGGCTTTGCTCACTTTGTAAATATTTCTCCTCTTTGTTAATGACGAGTGCTCAGGTAGGCAGATTCCTTGTCCGCTTCATCCCTCGAGTACAGTTGTTCTTTCTGTCTCCTTGTGTAGTGCCTGCTCCACTTGCCTTTGGCACTTCCCTTAATAGGGAGATAAAAGTGCCTGCTTTTCTTCTGGAACTACAGTAATGCAGGTTATTCAGTGAGCAAGGAACCCTCTGTGGCTTATTCTCAGGGTGCTTAGCATGATGTATGAGCCTGCCTACTTGTGGGTTGGTGGGGGACCAAAGGAGAGGCAAACTGGTTCACATCATGGATGTAGCTCATCACAACCCACAATGGTGGGTTGCAGTGTGTGCAGGAAGCCGTTTTGAGTATTCAAGCTGTGCCAAGCAGGTGCTCTGGGTTATTGTCCTGTGAACTTGATGAAAGCACGTTCTTGTGGTTAATAAATCTCTCAGAAGCCATGGGAGTTTTCTGGATTTTGGGTGGTTTGCTGAGCATGTCAGTGACCCAGCATCAGTGGGTTTGGATGTCACAAGCTGGGTGACTTGCAGTACAGCTGCAACCCAGAGAGCCTAAACCAGTATGTGTGTGAGAGAGGCAGGTAGAGGAGGACCTTGGTCTCGCTCATGTGCTGCTTGACAGACCAGCCTGGAGAGGATACAGCCCTTGGGGATAAAAGATGTTGCCCATCCATTTTCCAGCATAAGAACCTAATTTTTAATGCAAGAGAGCATGCCTATGCTTTTATGTACCTAGCACATCCTGTTCCAAGTAAATCATTCAGTTACATGAATTAAATGCTGCTGTACAGGAAATTGTTCTTACATTCTGCATTTATTTCCTGCTCAGCTGTGTCCTGTGAACATGCTCAGGGCTTAGGCCACTTTTCAAGTCTCATCAGCCCCAGCCAGCATGGCCCATGGTCAGGAATGCTGGGAGTTGTAGTCTAAAGTGGTTCTTTTTTGGGGGGGGGGTACCAGTTTGGAGAAGGCTGGATTAGGAAGTGGACAGCCCTAAAAAACGGGATGGTTAAGCATGCTCAGAATACTGTACGGAGAACCTCAGCTAGAATACAATTTAGTGAAAGTCCTTCTGTTGGCTTGCATGCCCATTGGACTCATTGTGCAGGCATCTGTGCAAACAAATGTTCCAGTGGTTTGCTATCAGTCTCCCAAGTGCAGCAAATTATTTAAAAAAAAACACTGAAAGTGCTTCAGTTCAAGAAGTTGATAGCAGTTGCGGTTAAATTTTCTAAGAAGATCATGCGGAGGTGTTTCGACAGAAGGGAAAGAATGGCTTTTTGTGCATGCTTTATTAGGAAGTGGTAAGTATATTTGTCTCAGTGTGAACCATACCTATTTCTGGAAATGGTAGTTTAATATTTTTTCCTCTAGAAGGTAGAAAGCTTTATTCTTTGGAGAAGTTCTCAGATGCACTGATACTATTTTTAAAAAACCGGTTCTAGACTAGGTCATCCCATAATCTTTTAGCCCTGTATTTGACAACAGAAATGACCAAATAGCAAACTTCAAGGTGTATCAGTAATATTTTCCCAAGTGTTATTCGGAGGAATATAGTTCTCTGCAAACTTTGGGAAGTCAACGGTAAATGGTGAAGGACTAACACATTGTAGACCATTTCCTTCCTTATATTCCTTGGTAGTTCCTCAGTTTAACTAAAGGCATCCATGCCCCAAATTTGCACAAGCAAGATTGCCCTGAAAGGTGCTTCTGTAACTACCTGCAACTGGAGAACACTTTCTCTTTGTGTGTTGTGTTACCCACACCAAGCCCTTGGGTTAGGTCAAGGCGCTTAGAACACTCTGACTTTTCAAAGCAGTGTTGTCAACTTTTTGCCCTGCTCTTGTGCCTTCAAAAACCCTATAACACATATAAATTCAATATGTGGAATTTCTTCTGCTGCTTAATCTTCATACTAGAAAGGAATTAACCTGCTAAATTTCAGTGTCAGGCTGTTGTGAAACTCACAGAAACAGCGACTGGGCCAGCAAAACTGTTGGCAAGTGTAATTTAAATAAATAAAGCAGGGTCGGGTAGGGGCGTGCATAGATCTGCTTCTCTTTCAGCTGAAGTTCTGCTCTGTAAAGTAAGGTATCTATTCTACATGGCTATTTTATTTTTTATTGTTGGTTGTTTTTTTTTTTTTTTTTGTTACAAATAAGCTTAAGCTGGGGTCACATGGTGGAGAACCATAGCCAAAATTCTTGCTCAGAAGGCCTAAAGCCTTGCTACTTAGATACCCTGCTAATCCTACTATAGTTCTTAATAAAGAGTTGTTTAATTCACTTGGGCAACGTGTGAAATCCATTAATAGTTGAATTACAAAGAGGCCAGCAGCTGGCTCTCCTCTCAGCCTGCCAGCTTTCCTCAGCAGATTCAGGTAAATTCATGTTATACCACCACAGAGAAGGCCAACTGATTCAACTTGGAGTTTAATAAAGAATCTACAATGACCCCTACTTTTATATTTCCAATGTATAGCTATCTCTGCCAGTCTTAATGTATGTTGAGTATATTAATGTTGGCCATGAGGAGCTCCAACACCCCCACTCTTCTATACAATGTTTGTATCTCAGCTTCCTTGTATGGTTTCAAGAACCATACAAGGAAGCTCTTATTTAATCTATTCCTGAAAACTTGTAAGGGAGTTGAGATACAAATTCTCTATGGAGGACAGAGTTTAGTTATGTAGGATAAAGAGCTAAATAAACTTTGAAACTTAAAAGAGGAGCAGATATTTGATAATATCCCTACACTGACCAAAATGCAGATGGAGTGTGATCTCCAGATGGAGCAAGATATCAAGGAACAAGTGTCTTTTTAAAAAAGAATACACCTATTGTTAATAGCCCCTATTCTGTTTCAGATGCTAGTTTGTATTACTTTGCTAACAATTACATCCTCTGGGCTTATATAAGCATGGGTACACTCAGTCTCTGCTGCATCCTGAACCCTTGGTGAGAAGAAGCGGGAATCTTTTCTAGAGCAGAAGGATGAAAGCTATACATGTGATATACTTTGGTGAATCTAAATGATTGGTGGGCATGATTTTGAAGGTGTTCTTTGTTCAATCTATTACTTTTTTTGTGGTAAACTGTTTCTGGTGTTGGTATTGTTTCTGCTCATAAACTGTATTAAAATGTTGAGTGCTCGCTCGCGCTCTCTCTCTCTCTCTCTCTCTCTCTCTATGTGTGTGTGTGTGTGTGTTTGCTGTTGCTAATTTTAAAACTGGTATGTTTCAGTTTTAGTTATATTGTGCATATTGCAATGCACTGGAAATGTTAGAATACCAGCATTCACTTATCTTGCAGTAAATGTGTAATTTCCATACTTGATCATTCCCATAGCACTTTGATCTGTATTTAGTTCTGGAACTTCTTGAGAATGCCAACTGACATATGGATAGATATTTGATAGCAAGATTTTCAAAATGTTTTCGCCAATGTTCCTCACCAAAGGCTCCTGAGAAAATAAAGTATGCATTACAGTAGGCACTTTAAAAACCCTGTCTTTTAATACTTTACTTTCTTTTGAAGGAAAAGCAGCCACTTGGGTCTTCATACTGTCACTGCACTTATGATCTGGACTGGGCCCCTGTAATGATTTCCAGTAGGAAATTTATTCCTTCCCAAGCTACTATTTGCCTCCTGCTTACTGCAAATAACACCGTTGGAGGTAAAGATGATACCTTCAAGCGAGTGGGGGTGGGGCTTTGTGCATGTACACATGTGTGAGTGGTGGTAGGGAAATGGTGTAAGTCCCTAATCAAGATTATGAGAGTAGCGCTAGATAAGAACCCCATATGGCAACTTTGCCTACAAAAATAAAAGTTAAAAAAATTGTAAAAGTTCACTTTCTAGCAGTGGAGAGGCCAGAGCCAAATGTGAACAGATACAGATATTTTGCTATTAGGTACACAACAAGCCAAAAATCAGTCCTATCCAGGTATTCTTTCTCCCTAACTTGTGCAAAGTTTTCTCCGTCAACTTTGTAAGACAGAGTGGAGTGGAGTAAGTATCAGCAACTCAAAAGGAACATAGGCTGGAGGAAAGCCTGCCGGTCTGCATTTGGTTTGTGGACTGGAGTTCTCTTCCTTGGTATGAAGCAGTGGGAAGCTCTGTCCTTTTCTTAGAGAAGAACCAGGAAACCAAGTATCCAGCTGCAATGGCTCATCAAGCCAGAGAGGCTCAGCGGAGTACCTCCTTCTTTACCCTACGAGGATGAAAGGTCTATAGTCATCC